GGGGGGGGGGGGGGGGGTTGGTTTGTGTGCTGTCCTGATTTAATGAGAAATGTCTCTCTCCTTTTTGTAGAAAGCCAGGACGCAGGCAGTGGAAGCCCCACAGCCACCTCAAAGAAGGCAGCCAACAGCTCCAGAGCACGGAAGGAGCGCACAGCGTTTACCAAGGACCAGCTGCGGGAGCTAGAGGTGGAATTTGCCCACCACAATTACCTGACGAGGCTCCGGAGATACGAGATCGCGGTGAACCTGGACTTGACAGAAAGACAGGTGAAGCTTTTCTACTTGGTCTGCCTCTGCCTGAAGCACATCTCCTCCTGCTTGGCAACAGTGCCTAGAGAGAAGAGGAAGAAGGGTGGGAATGTTCAAAGCCTGCTCATTTATAACCCTCTCAAGTATCCCAATTTTTTAAAGGGGGAAAGCAGGCCATCCAGTTCCAAATAATGATGATAATACCAGCACACCCTCCTTCTATCAGTACTGGCTTGGGCTAGATTCTTACAATATCGGACTTGTGAGCTAAATTCCATATATAACTCTATATGTCTGAGTGTGGATTTGAATTTAGATGTCCCTGGTCCTAATTTCATAGGGCTGTTTTATGTCAGAATGTAATGCAAATACAGGTAGCATACTGAATTAACTCAGCCTTATAGAGATGGAAGCTATCTTAAAGGGGAGAGGCAACGGTGCACCAGATATTTTAAACTACAATTGCCATAAGCCCCAATGCCCAAGGCAAGGCTAGCTGATTTTTGAAGCCACCAGGTGTTGACTCTGAGATGCTCTCTTTGCAAAGTCTGTCTTGCTCTTGAGAGTTAACTGAGATTAACCGAGTTGCCCCTTGAAGCTGAGTTCAAGGGTAAGCACAACTTGTTAAGATTGGGTTTCCACATCACATTAAACATGGCTTGTTTTAACCATAATTTGCATAAATCACCCTGGCCTGATTTACACAGAGCACTAAGCCATAGACTAGTGTCTGGCTTACACCTTCTGCTAATCCAAAAGCAACCAACTTCACAACTGAATGGGATGTGTAAGGCCAAGTGCAATGGGGATCCGTAAGCTCTGTCTTGTAAACAAATGTCTCAGAAGAATGCATCTGGAATTTGCCAAGCCATTTCCACAGAATTCCTTCCAAAGTTATACCTGCTTGTTCTGGCAGCTTTTTGCTGGCTGCTGCTAGAGTGCAGGCTTTGGCAATCATTTGCTATTAATGCTTACTGAAAAACTAGTTGAATTACTGCAGTCTGGGATACTGTAATGAAATGGCGTGTCAGGAAAGACAGCTGCTACAGGTCTTCTCTACTGAAGCAGCAGGGATGTTGCAAAGGCGGCATCTTTTCCTTTATTGAGAACAGAAGCCAGAGATGATGTGGGAAAGGTGGTGACTGATGTTCTAAGCTATCAAGGAGCACATCTAGAATTTTGCTCAGGAAGGTAGGCTTAGAGAGGGGAGAATTTAACCCTTATTTCCTGGAAGTCTGGTCAGGATTTCTTGTACTGAATGAACACAGCTGAAGCCTTGTGCCTGAGCATCTGAGTGCCAGGAAGGGCAAAGGCAAAAGGGTTCTGGGATTTGGCAGTATCAGGCTTAAGTGCCCGGGCAGGGCTGTGGTTCATTCCAGCTCTTTTGGCCTTGTTTGTAGTCACTGTTCTCCTGATCCAGTATTTCTCTAGGTATTGTGATAAGTTAGAAATATATCCCAACTTGGTACCCCTCAGATATATTAAAGTACAACTCCATCCCTCTGATCAGTGGGTCTGAGAATTATAGGAGTTACGATTCAAACATATGGAGATTACCAAGTTGGAGAAGGCGGGTGGCTAATTCAAAGTTTTCAAGAACATGCAGCGCGCTGCTATCTTTTAAATTTGCAAGGCTCTAGTGATAGGAGGAGACTAACTGAAGACCCAATGGCTGGATTCTCAATTGTTGGAAGCCATAGTTTGCTTTAACCATGGTTTTAATAAACTGCAATGATTGGGTTCGCACTATACACTAACAACAAAACCAAACCCACAACATTACTGGGTATGGCTTAGCACAATGTATGAACCCAGTCACAGTCTAGTTCACAAAGTGTTTTTTTTGTGCTTTGTCTTACTTAGCCTTTTCTATGGGGTTCATTAAATAAACCACTGCAAATACAGCATAGCCAGTAAGTCTTCCCCCACCCTCTGTAGGGGAAGGCAAGGGTTCAGCTGTTCTTTTCACAACCTAAAGCCATTGACTCAGAACAGAAAAACGTCCCAAAAACCCATCACAGTTATCTCAGCTTGAACATGCCATTATGTGCAGATTGCATAAACTCATCAGAAGTGCTGTCCTGTTTCTTATGCAGGTTAAAGTATGGTTTCAGAACCGCAGGATGAAATGGAAACGTGTGAAAGGCGGACAGCCTGTGTCACCCCAGGACCACATGGAAGACATGGACTCTGCTCCTTCCCCAAGTTCAGAATAGCCCCTTCTCTAATAAACTGATCTCTATCAACCTTGTAGGAATATTGGGGATACCACTATTAAGTGGGAATCCCCCCTAAGATTTATCTCATTACTTTGACATTGGAGGCAGGAAATAGAGCCAGTGGTGCTTCCCAGGAAGATGGATTCCTCTACTCTCTCTCTCTCTCGGAGAAAGTAAGCCACCAAGGAGGAAAAAGGACCAGAACTGTGCAAAGATAGATTCCCAGCAATTCTGTGGTTGAAATCAATGACCTTTTTAGCACAAAGAAGCTGAGTTGGAAACTATGTTCAGTTCAATCTACTGCCCAGGTTTTCATTCTTAAAGCAATGTTGTTGCAACTTTGAAGCAGCAACCCTGCTGTTCGCACATGTTGTTTGGTTAGCCTCCTGTGGTCTCATAAAGGAACTCTTACAGAGCTCATCTCTGGAGAAGGTTTCCACTTGAAAACAAATGCTTCCTTCAGTCAGTTTGATAAGCATACATGCTGTGCTTTTAATGGCAAAATCAAAAAATGGACAACCTACCTGAGGCATGAAGGTTTGGGGGAAGATGGCACGGATATATCATCTTATCATTGAAGTTGTGAAATTCACTACTCTCACAATTCAATCCTCAGAAGAAGCCTCTGTAAACATTGTTTTTGCTTTGTATTTGTAGTGATTATAGAGGATGGCCTTGAAGGACAGAGGGAAGATCTGTTCCCAAGGCAACAATTAGATTAATGGGGCTTGAGCCCAGACCAAGAAAGTGGTTTCTGGAAATGCCTCAGAAAACCCCCTCCCCCATTCACATGAAGATAAAAGAGGGAGGAAGAGAAGTGCATTGACACTTGCAAGGCTGATGTCAGCCCTATAGGATAGACCAGACTAAGAAACAGATGCCATGTAGATCTAAAGCTACTTTTATTAGAACAGCCATAATAACAGTCTTGAGGCTAATTGTGGATTAGTCAACCAACCCATGATTAAACCCTATTTTTTTACTTAATTTATGTCTTTGTGTGTTTTACATAATGTTGCTTGCCCCCCAAATGAATAGCCTATATGATTTATGTTCTGTGAGTTTATGAATTTGCCTTATATAGAGTCAGTAATTGGTCCATTATACTGTAGCATGCTCCACCCCAGCTGCCCCACATAAAGTGTGCTAATGTTCATATGTATCCTTTCTTACGTGAGTAGATCCTGGATGTGCTCTGTGAGAAAGCTAAATGTTTGTGTGTAATAGAAATTCTAAAATAAAAATGAAAACATTGTACAGAATATTAGCGTGCATGTGCCCCACCTCAGAGCAGTGAGGCGTTTCAGTTCAGTTATTTTGGAAAGAAGCCATTAGCAGTGTGATACTTTTGTTACACTTATTTTCACATACGTGGAAGCTGGATATGAAGTAGTAGCTTTAATTCTCCAAACAAAGTTATGTTCCTCATATTTCCTGCAGAGATCAGCAGCTGTATTTCTCCCTTGCAGACAGTCCTTCATATTAACACATTCTTTGTGTGTGTGTGTGGGGGGGGGGGGGGTT